GACGGGGGACAGGATGTCAAGGCCCTTTAACTCAATTGGTCTGGGGGGTGATAAGTGTGAATCAGGTCCTCTCTACTCCACCTTAAATAGGAGGGATGGGGTTCTGGGAGGGGGAGAGTCAGACTTTTTCCCTCCTTTTTGTTCTTTTGGAACAATGCTGTTATGTAGCTAAGATTGGTGAGGAACACCTGAGCTTCCTATCTATGCTTCCCAAGGGTTGGGGTTATAGGTGTGTGCCACCACACCTGGCAAAAACTGGATTTCAAGGAGTTCTATGGCTCTTGTAATTGTCCTCCTGAGAAGCTTCCCCCAAGAATGGCACCATGAGGCTGGCTGGCTAGCTGATGGGTACAAGCCATGACATCAGGGTCATTCTGCAAACTTGAGTGTTCCCCATGGATGAGGTGGAAATGTCCCTGAAAACCCCACAGCCACATACGGCCCCAGAACTATCTGGAAACACTTCTCCATAGCATTATGGAGTTATCTGAGCCTCATGAGTCTGTGGGCAGTCAGAATGACAGACTACAGGGACTCAGAGACGAGTCCTCCACTATGAGTCTTTCATTCCAGCACAGCACCCCCCCAGGTTTTCAAAGGTGGATGTCATGGGAGGATGAAAATGCAGAGGAGGGAGGAAGGAGGACTTGGAGGGACCATGCAGTAGGAACACGACCCTAGTGCAGAGCTACAGCCAACATCTCACTAAATGGGGAAAAACCACTCATTTCCTCCAGAAGAATGAGACAACAGTATCCACTTCTATTCAATAGATGGCTTGAAATCATCACCAGAGCAATAAGGCAAGAAAAATAAATAAATAAAAGGGATACAAATAGGAAAGGAACAGGACAAATGGCCAACAACATAAATATGTGTGTGTGTACGCCTATATATGTTGTTGGCCATATATATATAATATACCAAACTAAGACCAGGCTTAGAGAGGTGCAAGAGCTCCCACAGGCCCTGATTATACAATTGCTTAGGTCCAGAGGGTGGGACGGGGCAAGGCAGGGCTCAAGCTAAACTCACCACTTTTAGCCAGGACACTGGGGTGCTGTGCCAAGGAGTGCAGGCCTTGGATCCAGCCACTACACACAGTAGGCACGCTCCAGGCTGCCCAGCACTGGGGGCAAGACTGTACTCAAAAATTCTTAGATTTTAGTAAACTAGCAAGACATAAAATCAACATGGGATACTCAGCAAGCAGGAGAACAAGACCACTGAAGGCAACTTCAAAAACAAAATGCCTGGGTATAAACTTAACCAAGAAGGTGAAGGGAAAACTAAATCCTTGAAGACACTACGGGATGGGAAGATCTCTTGTGTTCACAGGCTGGCAGAATGACTGTTGTGAAAACAGCCACAAAGTGTCAAGACCTGGGGATTGAGATGGCCCTAAGCTCCTCCCCTACCCCCCTGGAGGGCCTGGCAGGAAGAAGGCCCAGGCTCACCTGCAGGTACAGGAAGCAGTCCTCCTGAGCTGCAAATGTTCCAGCAAGGCGCAGGGAAAAAGAAAGGACCCTGGAACTCATGTCCTGTGACTTCAGCACGTGGGACAGAAGCTCCACCAAGGCAGGGTTCTCTTGCAGCAGCAGGAGACTGGACTCTGCAGAGATAGGCCGGGTCCAGAGGGCAAAGAAGAGGGACATATGGAGGGCCACTTCCCCAGAGGTGGCTCCCAGATCCCTTTTCTCATTCCTTCAAGAAGCAAGACTCTACAGTTTATGGTTTCTCATCCCAGCTGGACTTTAACAGTCAGACAGAAACTCCAAAAAGTGAAAAAATGATACCCGATCGACAGGCAAGCCCTTGCACTTTGTACTATACACCATCCCCATCCTCTGGCCTCTGACAGCACCCCAACAGCACTCACACCCTTACCCGCCTCTGTGACAGTTTTAAACCAGTCCAGCAGTTTCTCTAAACAGGTGTCATCTGCCAGGGGCTGCCTGGGATCCGCCAGTGCAGCACAGAGGGCCGGGAGCAGCCGGGAGCACTCAGGGTCCATGATCAGCCAGGGGTTGCTGCAGAGGCATGGAGGCAACCTCAGGTCAGGCTCTCTTCCTCATTCATCCTAGTCCCAGGCAGCTAGGGGTGGGAAGAGGGTCTCCAACTTTCACTTCAGACCAAAGCTACAGGCTGCCCACACATGTGCAAACCTCGGGGAACAGGGGTAGGGTGGGTGGCTGGGCAGCCAAGAGGATGCATGGCCAGGCACAGGTGTCTCATGCTTACAATCCTAGCTATTCAGGAGGCTGAGATCCAGAGGATCCTGGTTCTAAGACACAATAGAAAAGTCCTACGAACTAACAAAAAGCTGGCTGGAATTGTGCTCAAAAGGCAACAGCTCGGGGCAATAGCCCCAAGTAAATAAGTAAGAGACTTTTGAATTCAAACCCGTGAGCAGCAAAACAAAGCATGCGGGACCGGTGGCCTCCAAGGAAGGAAGAGATAAAGAGGCTGGTGCACCACGACGCTTTCGGAATTAAAAGCCTCGGGTGTGGGGGGGTGAGGGGGGGGGAAGAGAGGGAGGGAAGTCTGTGACTTGAACTCAGGGCCTTAGCTTTTCCTGATCAAGGCTCCACAAGAAACCAGACATATCAGCCGCGGAGATCGAGCCCACAGCAGCCCCACCCCACGGGTCCCCGCCGACCCCCCCCCCCCCCCCACCCCCCCCCCCCGGGGGCCCCCCCCCCCCCCCCCCCCCCAGCCCTCCGTCCCGGGTGCATACTCACCCGGCTACGGAACGCGACCGCACAGCGTTCCTCGCTCACTCCGCGTTCCGTGCGTCGACCGCAAGCCCCGCCCCACGCCGCCTCAAGCCCCGCCCATAACGCCCCAGGCCCCGCCCAGGGTACTACGGTCTCGCTGGGAGAGGAGAGAATGAAGGCGACGACGGTAAAGTAGGGGAATCGTGATAACGTCCCTGAAGTTCGCTCTGGTCACCTAAAAGGTTGAGACTGGGGAATGGAGTCACGCGAGTTTTTGGGAAGCCCGGCACGAAACCGGTATCTTGAGCTTATCATCCCCTCTGCCCCCCAACTGAGACGCTCAGTGGTACGAGCCCAAGCCGCCCGTGGGTGGGGCGTTTCGACGGCGGGGGCTACGTAATGTGGGCGTGGCCTACGTGATGTGGGCGTGGCCGGGCCTGGCCTGGCCTTCTTGTCCTGGAGGAGGGAGACCGTGGGTCCCTAGAGCCAAATCCTTAGTTGTTTGACTTCTCAGTGTCTCCCCTAACTATTGGTCCAAATGCCTCGTTCCCTTTTCATTCCCTGTTTCCTACCGCAAAGCTGGTTGCTGGCTTCAGCGCTGAGAGAAGACCAAAGAGTGGTTTAGGAGCCCAGCGTTTGGAGGTTCACTGACGTCTCCTTCCTGCAAAATGGCAATGAATAGTTTGTGGGCTTTGGTTGGTGTCATAAAAATACAGCACAATCTCTGGTTCACAGAAAATGCCCACCTCCCTCCCTACCCCGAAAGAGATTACCACCAGACTACAATCGGCAGTAATTTGAATATTTGAATGTGAATTAATATCAAATCGCTGGCCAAGAGCCACAGCTCATCCTATAATCTCAGCTACTCAGAAGACAGTAGGGAGAAGGATCATAGAGGAGATCCTAACCTGAAAAGTAACTAAAGCAGGGGCTGGGAGTGTGGCTTAGAGGTAGACTGGTTGCCTAGCATGCATGAAGTCCTGGGTTCGATTCCTCAGCACCACATAGAAAAAGCTGGAAGTGATGTTATGGCTCACATAGGCCCTGAGTTCAAGCCCCAGGACTGGCAACACAAAACAAACACTAAAGCAAAAGTGGCTTGGGATGTGGCTCAAGTGGTACAGTGACTGCCCAGCAGGACTTCCCTTCCCCTCAAAAAAATGAAGCAAAACAAATAGCAAATAAAAATAAACCTTTTTTTATGGTGTGGGGCTTGAATTCAGGGTCTGGGCGCTGTCTCTCACCTTTTTTTGCTCAAGGCTAATGCTCTACCACTTGAGCCACAGCTCCATTCCTGGCTTTTTTTTTTGGTAGTGGGAGTAGGTAGTTATTTGGAGATAAGCCTCACAGGCTTTCCTGCCCAGTCTGGCTTCAAACAGTGATCTTCAGATCTCAGCCACCTGAGTAGTTAGGATTACAGCTGTGAGCCGCCAGCGCCCAGCTAAACTTCCATTTTAAACTTCCAGCATGGATGATCCTTTATTTATGCTTCCTACGTGGCTGAGAAGACGGGCACATGCCACCCCAGCCCAGCTACTGGATGAAATGCCGTCTCTGTACATTTTGCCTAGTCTGCCCATAATTTGCATCTGCCCAATCTCCACCTCCTCAGTAGTGGAGGTTACAAGCATTCAATCACCACTCCCAGCAATGTTATTTTTCATTTAGGATCTTGCCTTTTTGTTTTGGGGGCTCTTTTTGCCCAGGCTGGCCCCTCATCATAATCCTCCCACCTGTGAAGGCTGGGATTCCAAATAAGAACCACCGGCCCAGGATTATAGATTGAGATAAAGTCCCACTAGTTTTTTTTTTTTTTTAATCTGGATAACCTCAAACTTCAATACTCTCAATCTCTGCCTCCCAAGTAGTTGGGATTATAGGCTTGATCCACCTCACCGAACTACACTTGGCATGATCTTATCCTTAATATCAGGTAGCTAGAAACCTAAATATGTATTACTAATCATGCCTCCCACGAACCCTGTCACGGGCTGACAAGGCGACTAAGCACCTATAAAACACTTTGCAAACTGTCCCGCTCGGCTCTGGACAGCGCATGCGAAAACTCCCGGTGTTCCACGGTGGCCATTTCCGGGCGGGCTCCCACTGGGCATGCGCCGACTCGGGCGCGCAGGCGCACCGACGTTCTCTGGCGAGGTGGGGCGGGATCACATCCGGGATCCTGCGACCACGCGGTGCGTGGTTGCCATGGCACCGGGGTAGCGGGCCGGCGCGGGGCGTTTGGACAGCGCCAGCTGTTGGAAAGCGTGGAGGCTGCGGGCGACTTGGACCGGCCACCAGAGGCCGATGGCTGAGTCGGCAGCGTCGGGGCGCCGGGGCCGAGTCCCCGCCGTGAGCCTGGGCACGGAGGAGCCCGCCTCGGAGACAGTAAGTGAGGACGCGGCCTCCGTCCCGCGGGAGGACGGGCGCGCCATGGCGGCCGGCCCCGGGCGTTGGCCGGCCCGCGCCCCACCAGAGGCCGCCGCTTCCCAGAAGCTGAGGGCCGGCGAGGGGGCCCCGCCGTACACCTCCTTCCTGGCATGCGGTGCTCCACCACCAGCACCGCCAAAAACAACAACCAGCATGAATAACAAGAATTTGTTGAAGTTGCAAGATTGAAAATAAGATTCTGCATGCCAGTCCAGTACCAGGGAGGTGATGCTCCAATAGTCCCTCCCATCCCATGCCAGTCCTTTTACTTCCTTGCAGACTTGGTCATCTTGTCTTTGTGCGTTTACTTTTGGTTTTGTTTTTGTGTCTGTATTGGAGCTTGAACTCAGGGCCTGGGTGCTCCTTTGAGCTTCTTTCCCCTCAAGGCTGGTGCTCCACCATTTGAGCCACAGCTCCATTTCTGTTTTTTTTTTTTTGTGTGTGTGTGTGTGTTTGCTGGGTAGTTGTAGATAAGAGCCTCATGGGCTTTGCTGTTCACCCTGGCTTTGAACTTTGATCCTCAGATCTCAGCTTCCTGTGTAGCTCCATTTATAGGCATGAGCTATCCAATTCCTATCTTTGCTTTTATGAGTTGGTATCATTCACAGCATAAAAGCTTTTAACCGTGGGGCTGGGAAGGTGGCTCAGTGGTAGAGCGCTTGCCTTGCATGCCAGAGGCCCTGGGTTCGATTCCTCAGCACCACATAAGCAAAAAGAAAAAAGCTGGAAGTGGCACTGTGGCTCAAGTGGTAGAGCACTAGCCTTGAGCTGAGGAGCTGAGGGACAGCACCCAGGCCCACAGTTCAGACCCCACGACCAGACCAAAAAAAAAAAAAAAGTTTTTAACTGTAATGGGGTTTGTTGTGCCTACTTTATACACCAGCTGCTGTTCAGATAACTGATTTTCTGCAGAGTTTAGTTCAGCTGGTTCACCTCTGTGTGGCACAGGCTACAGGTTAACTCCTCTAGTCTCCCACTTAGTATGTTTATCCAGTTCTCCACCTTCCTTCCCAAAATTGTGTGTTTCAGCGTTAAACTGATGCATTTTGTTTAAATGGCAGCTTTCTCTATATTGTCACATGCTGCTCATGCCTTTCAATGTCACCTGTTTAATGACCATGAAACTCTGAAGTCCATGAACAGCTTTTTCAAAGGTTCTGGTTGTTTGGCATGCATTGTGCCCTTTTGTCCCTAGCTCAGGTTATACTGTAATAGAAACAGTGGGATTTGATCTCAGAGCATTTCATTTGGTAGGCAGGTGCTCTACCAGTTGAATCATGCTTCCAATCCAGCTTTGTGCTGGCTAATTGAAATGCAATCTCTTCAGCTTTTCTGCTGAGGCTTGCTTCTAAAACCATGTTCTTCTAGGTCTCAAACTCCTGAATAGCTAGGATTTATAAGAATGAGCCACTAGCATTCACCTTACTTTATTCTTCAGGTACAGTGTTGAGTTTTTGCTCTGGCCATCATAGACTGTGATCCTCCTATCTGTGGTCTCCTGCATAGTTGGGATGACAGGTATATCCACAAAAGCCCAGCATTTTCTGTTGAGATGGGAGTCTCACAACTTTTTCCTCCCTTGGCTGGCCTAGGACAATAGTCCTGATCTCAGCCTCCTGAGTATCAGAAATTACAGGCATGAGCTATCAGCACCAAGCACACATTGCACTTTTATTGTTGTTATTTTATTTTTTGCCAGTCCTAGGGCTTGAACCTGGGCCTGGGGGCTGTCCCCGAACTTCTTTTTGCTCAAGGGTAGTGCTCTATCACTTGTGGCACAGCACCATTTCCAGTTTTTCCTGAGTCGCTTATTGGAGATAAGAGTCTCACAGCTTTTCCTGCCTGAGCTGGCTTTGAACAAGATCTCAGCCTCCTGAGTAGCTAGGATTATAGATGAGAGCCACCTGTACCAAGCCACACTGCACTTTTAATCTGGGCTCTCTGCAATACAGAGGAATATAATAAGGGCACCAGGTTATTAGTATTACACTTCATCTGCATGACAGTGCCCTCTGCAGACTGCTAGGGGGATTCTTGCTGTCAGCCTTGAATTCAGCATAGCTGTATATTGCTGATTTCCAGCATGCAGCAGCCCCCATCATGACCCACCAGAGACCCACGACACAGATGTAAGTGGCTGCACTCCTCTGAAAAGCAAGCCTCACAGTTCTCAGCAAGGGCTTTGGTCCTCATGTCCTGCTCCACTGCCTTTTCTCGGGACATGAGCCTGAATGAACCCAGCAGCTGCTTCTCTTGGGAAAATGCCTTTCCCCCCAACCCTTATATCCTCGTGGTCCCACTTTCCTCATACTGTCTGGGCCGGGGCCGGGGCAGTGACACAGTCAGCAGGGACCTAGATAAGCTCAAATCGCTTCTTGTGTAATTCTGTGCTAAGGGAGTTTTCAGCATGTGATGGGCCCTGTTCACTGTTATAAACTGGATTGTGGAAAGCCACAGGTGGTGTGCAGTTGCAGTGTTTGCCTCTCTCCTCCAGGGAGATGACAGTCTGTCTGCGATCACCTTCGATTCTGACACTGAGCTGGTAAGTGCACCGCAGGGCTGGCAGTACCCACGGCTGCTGCTGCTGCTGTCCTCTTGGGTGCCCCTTAGTCGTGTAAACCAGACCCTGCTCCCAGAACACAGAACCTCAGCGTTCTTTGGATGCAGCCAGGAGGGTGAATGAATGAGTAGGGGCAGGGCAACCAGGCCAGGGTGTACTGCATTCCCTGCCTGTCCTCTAGCTTGCAAACTAGCTGCTCATTTAGTGAGGAAGCATGTGTTAGCACTGAAGCAGTTTTTATAGCACCTCAACTCTGAGAGAATCCAACTTCAGAAGCCCCAACTCGCCTGGGGCCACCTTGCCAGATTCCCTTCCCTACTAGAGGACAGGGCCAATGGACTCCTGGGAGAGCAGTACTCAGCCAAGCCCCAGGTAGAACTCAGCCTTCCTGAGTGCAGAGCTGTATTTCTGCCCGACTCACATGAGTCCCTGGCTGTTTACTGTTACCTTCCTGACCTGATGTGATGCAGACAAGGAAGAGGAGGGCCCTGTCCCCAGGCTACAGACCCAGAAGCAGAACCAAGTCTGCTCCCTGTTCAGCATGAGCAGTATGCTTGTCAGGACAGCACGCCACACGGGATCCCTGCTGGGCCCCTCTGCCTCATGTGTTTGCACTGGCTCACACACAAAGTTCTGTCTTGCCAGGTCCTCTGTGCAGACACTGGTGGATGCCACAGCTTAGGCTGGCCATGAGGAAAGCCAGTGAGGTGTGACATTAGTGACCAGGGTCTTCCTTTCTAGGTCCACAGCCCCAGTCCCACAAGGTCCCCTCAGCCAGACATAGCTCTTAGCCAGGCCGTTGTCCTATCTGGTGGCCCTCTGAGCAGGCCATAGCTTCACAGTGGGGCTCTGTGGTGGTATACGCAGCTCAGTGATTCACATCACACCTTTTCTCTTTCAGAAAACAGAAAGGAAAGTCTCCCACAAGCCTCTGTCCACCTCACCCAGTGAGTATGGGCAGGCTTCTTCCTTACATGTCCTGGAAGGAGTGAGGGGGTTTCCTTGCTGTGCACTTGGGAGAGGTGACACTCGATGGCACTTGTTAGGGGACATCAGGGTGGCCTCTTCTCAGGCTGAAGCTCAACACTACCCTTTGTGCCCATCTTCTTTTTTTTCTTACTGTCTAAGTGCCCAAACAGCACCAAGTTAAAGGATATTTTTTGTTTGTTTGTTTATTGGGGTTTGAACTCAGAGCCTCAAGCTTACTTGGCTGGCACTCTGTTTCTTGAGCCATGTCTCCAGCTCAGATTTTTGTTGTTTTGGTACTGGGTTTTGAACTCAGGGCCTTTCATCAGCTCTGCTTTTTGCTGGTAATTTTGGAGTCTCATAGACTTCTGGCCAGGCTGGCATTGAACCATGATTTTTGGATCTTATCCTCCTGAATAAGCTAGGATTGTAAGAGTGAGCCCCTGGTGCCCAGTTTAAAGGTGTGTGTGTGTGTGTGTGTGTGTGTGTGTGTGT